ATATTACATGACATTTTTCGTCACATGTATTGTCCGACACATTGCTAGATGTCAATCTGGAACGACGAATGTAAATTAGTGATAAATTAAAAGGTGTGTTTTAATTTATCGATTTTGATTACATCAAAATAATAATCCACGTCGTTAAACATCGTAATTGAGAATCTAATGGGTCACACACAAAAGAGAACTAAAAGAATGAGATTTACCAATTAATTAATTGACAAGCGTTGGACAATTAATTAATTGGGTTGCTTATTAATAGGCCCGAATTAATTAATTTGATTAATTAAATATTGTACCGAATTAAGTTTAAGAGACGAGCCAAGCCTGATTGGACATATATTAATGGCTGTCAGGATTTGAAAACTGTATGTAATAATTCATTATTCTTGTTAGCACAAGAAAAGAAAATCATAATTGTCATTCTTGTTCTCTGTGTGGATCTAGACAATTGGATAGCTTGAATTGCAGATCGTGATCATTCGAGTTTGAGAATCAACAAAAGAGTTTACAGAATTTATTAAAGGTATAAATCTTATCACAGTTTCTATCTAAACACAAAGTAAATCCATGATAGGAATTGAAATTTGATTTATTTTTCGATGTGCATGTTAAGTAAATTTCCAACACACAACACTCAGATACACACTGGTTATTCAAAACCAAGGATAAAGAATACTTAATAGATTGATCATTTTATTAGTGATCTAATCAATGGTATCCTATGGTTAGAAATAGTCTATCAAGCAGATAAAGTTGTGACTTTGTTTGATTCCACGGCAACAGGAAATGACATGGCTATGTGAATTAATCAAGTTCAGGACTGAAACATAAAAGTACAGGTAAAAACTTTAAACTACCAGTGGAGACAATTTCCTATAATATCAGGGACAAAAATAGTTTTGTCTAATTTTGAGTGAACAGACAAACAGTGGCCATCTATCCAGAAACCCTTGCAGTAGCTCACAAACATAAGGCAGTATTAGTTAAGAGCTGAATAACAAACCTTCATAGAAACGACAATGAAGTATGTCTTTCTCTTGAAGCATCCTACTCAGGGACATACGCGAGACGAATAACATTCCCTCACCTAAGTGAAAACGATATGAACAAGTCCGCAAAGAGAGAGAGAGGAATGCTGGAGCACCGGAGCTCGCTATGAGTTGAGTCAATGAAAATCCACCTCCAATGAGTTCGCTGGGAAAAGGGGAAAACCATTACAACTGGATTTAAGGGCAAACTGAGAATTACGAGTTGTTTTGTGAAGCATGGATTCATCGCAAGAATTAATGCAAATTTCAAAGATGTCCCTCAATTAACTAACAAATACAGAGATACCCCTTATTTAATGTTATTTGTAATCGTTAAGTAAGTCGTTTTATGTGGTATACATATTGTAGGTGGTTATTTGATGCATTAATATGTTAGTTTTTTTATTAACTCATGCTTCAAATAATCATATGTCATGTGTATAACACGTAGGGTAACCACCGTAGTGAGCAACTGCGAATAACATTATTTAACTGACAAATACAACACTTGATACCAACTAGAAATAGATGTGACCCAATTACTCTGGAGATATTACATATAAACACGTATTTAAGTTTTTCAATTCAGGTGTGGGTGGGATTTATTTAACCAAAAATCATGTATTAATTGAATTGTTAATAATATTATAAAATTTACCCACCCTAACCTAACCCCACTACAAAACCTAAATTATTTCCTCGTCCCCAACTCACTCTTCTCTCTATCCATCTCTCTACCCTCTCTTCATACACCTCTGACACTCACTAGGTGACATCGCTCACAAGAGCGCTACTGTCGGGAAGCGGCGCAGAAGCTTTGCGCATAGAAACGCTACGCTCAACGATGATGGTGTAATTGTGCGAAACCTTGCACAGCACCGTTGCAGGAGCTGTGGCGCGATTTCTTTCTAATTTGTTGCCAGTGGTGTGTTCAGGTATGTGGTGATGGTGGATCTAAGGTGCTGGTAAATGTGGATCAATGTCCACATGTGGTAATTGTTAGCTCAAGAATAACTAATCAAGAGAGGGGTGAATTAGTTTTTGAAACTTTTTCGACACTTAGTTTCTAAACAATACAGTACACAAAATATGACTGCAAAGTATAATACTAGAATTAATTATGTAAGTTCGATAA